GAGCTGGAGCCGCTGTAGTAGAGTGAGTGACAGCCCGGGCTGGGGGCGGGGCAGGATGTGCGTCATGACAGGGCGGGACGCTTGCCCGGTCTTCCGGGTTTCCAACGCCCCGCCCCCATGAAGCCCCTCCCCACGCGGAGCCGCCTAGAAGCCAACGTGGTTCTTCTTCGCTGAGTACCGGGACCTCTGGACTGAGGGACGATCTGCCCCTCAGCCACCTGAAGGGTGGCGCGCTTTTTCCGACATTCTCTTTTCCTGGCTTGCTCCTGGAGACTCGCTGGGGACCCGGCGCGCTCCCCAGAAGAAGCTAGAGCAGAACAAACTCCCTACTTCCGTCCTTCACTAGGGGGTGGAGTTGTACGGGAGGCGCCCTCGTGCAGCCAATCCGCGCTAGACCGGTCTCTGGTTCCTGCCGCTATTGGCCGGCCGGGTGACCTGCGTAGGCGGCCGCGTAAGTGAAATTGCTGCACCGGCCTCCGCCGCTGTTCCCGAGCGGCGCTCGCTGCGGTCTCTGCGCTCACGTCTCCTGACTTTGTCGCTGCTGCTCGTGGACGCGCAGGTGGGTGCGGGGCGCGCGCGGAGGGCGGACCCGGATCGCGGGACCCGTGTCGCCCGGAGCTGCACAACATCGCGGGCCAAGTGCGAGCTCTCAGCGGGGGTGGGGGGGGTGGAGACCTGGCGCCTTCTGTTCCGACCCCCGCACCGGCGCACTGGGGTCCGAGGCGTTAAGGGTGCGAATTGTCCCAGCTCAGGGGCGCCCCCGCGTCCCACTCCTGCGGGACCCCAGATTCTCTACGGGAGGGGCCCGGGGCGGGGGGAGCAGAGCGCGGAGGGCAGCTGAGCTCTGCTGGTCGTCCGGTTCCTAACACGCTGGTAACGGGACCGGTCGTGGGCCGGAGGTTGGCGACCCCTGCTCTCTGGGCAGCCATTGCCCAGGCGTCCCCGGACCGCCTTCCTCCAGCCCTGCGGAGCCGAGGGTCCGTGGTGCCCGGGGCTGGGGCTGCCTCCGCTCCGCGGGGCGCGCGCCCTGGTGCAGGTGACGCTGGCTCGGCGGAACCTGAGGTGGGTCCTCAGTTTTCTGAGGGGACTGGAGAGTGTCCACGTTCCGCCCGGGCCTCGGTGGAGCCTGGCGGCCGGACTCGCTGCTGTGGGTCTGTGGGGATGTGTGCGGGCCGGGCAAGGGTGGCTCCGAGTCGGGGGCCTGGAGGCAGGATTGGATGGCAAGGAGCAGGGCGGGGCGCGGGCGCGCAGTCCCAGGTGTTGCCACAGCCAAAGCCACCCCATCGAGGATGGCGGGAGAGTTTCTCTTAAGAAAACGGTCTTTTATTTGCTAGAAATCGACTCCCGTACAACGGGGTGGACGCTTGTTTCTGGAGGACCTGGGCACGGGGTGCAGATGCTGCGGAGCGCTCCCGGGGGGCGGGGCGGGGGGCGGGCCCAGGGGTGACCCCTCAGCACCCCTCTTCCCGGAGCTGCAGGATGTCGGGAAGAGCCGAGGGTGAGCCAGGTCCCCAGCCCCTGGGACACATGGAGCGGGCTTATCAGCCCAGAAGGAGACAGGCGATGGTGCTGTGCTGGGAATCGGCCACCAGGTGCTGTGGCCTCCTCAGGAAGAGGCCGCAGGGACCAGGTGTGGCCTGTTCCCTGGCCCCACCTCTCCTCTGTCCCACCCCTTTCAGGCTCCTGTGTGTTCAGAGACTGAGTGTGAGCCTGGCTCCTCCTCCCACAACTCGGAGACCTCTTGTCTGTCCTGTGCCGAGTTCTGGGAGGGTGAGTGGGCGCAGTGAGGCGTGGGGCTCCTTGGTTTCTGCAGCTGACCCTGTGACCACCCAGCTGGTAGGAATGACCCTAAGGGCAGGTGTGACAGGTGAACAGTGTGGCCAGGGTGCCCCGCAGTCTGTGGAAGAGACTCGGGTTCTGCCAACTTGGCAGGGACCCTCCACCCACAGGCCCCTGCACTGGGTAGGGACTTAAATCCAAGCAGGGGCTCAGGCCAGTTAGAAAGGCCGCAGCCTCCCCACCACCCACGTCTGTCTCAGTGACGAGTAAGCAGCAAGTGCGGTATCTCCTGAGGACCCAGGGCATGAGGACGGGGCATGACGGGGCTTTTCCAGAATCTGAGGCTCAGAGAGGTTGAGTGACCCACCTACGGGGGCACAGCCGGGGTCTCCTCCCACCTGTGGCAGGAAGCTCTGGGCCAGGGTTTCTTAAGGAGGGAGAAAAAGGAAAAAAAGAACAAGAGAAACTCACTCGGGAGGGTGTTGCGAGTTCTGCATCCAGGGGACTGTGTGCCAGCAACACCGTCTGTTGGGGCAACTGGTTGGAGGTCAGCAAGAGTCTGGGAGCTGAGAGTCTGCAGGTGGGACTCAGTTCCCTTGGATCCGTGTCTAGAATTCTCAGGAGCACAGGCTGTTTCTCTGACGTCACATCTGAGTCTGGAGGTCGTCATGGACCTGCTGAGAAAGTACGTGCAGAGGTCAGTGGGGCGGGTCACAAGCTGTGTGCCTTAAAGATCCGAATGTAAAGGTGTCTGACACAGTTACTCGTAAACAAAATCTGACCAACTCACACACACGTCAGTCGGAGCTGGGACTGCCACACACTGTGTGACCACAGAGGGGACCCGAGTCCGTGTGTCTGTTCTTTGGAGAAATGTCTGTTCAGGTGGTCGGCCCATTTTCAAAGTCCGATGGCTTGAGGAGATTTTTTGGTTTTAAATGATCTATGTTCTCTGTCCATTTTGGATGTTAACCCCTGGCTGATCCTATCATCAGCAAAGACCTTGTTCCATCTTTAAGTTGTCTTTTCGCTGTTTGCTGGTTCCTCTGCCATGTAGACCATTAGTTCCACTGGCCCCCTGGTCAGTCTCCTCCTTTGCTGCCCTCCCCAAGCAGTCGTGCCCGAGAGGTGGCGTGAAGGGCGGAGTCGGAGGGCCTGGGTTTCTGCCCGGGTTCGGTTTGGGGCTTCACCTTTGCCTCATTCCCCAGCCTGTGGTCCTTCTTGTACACAGACAGCATCAGGATGTGACCCAGCACGGTCCCATGCACGTGTGTGCAGTTGTCCCAGCATCATTTGGAGACATTGTGTGTCCCCCATTGTACGTTCTCGCCTCCTCTGTCATGGGCGAGTTGTCCGTGTAGGTTTCGCTTGTGTCTGACTGTTCCGTCCCATTGACCTGCTCGTCTGTTTTCTGCCAGAGCTTTGACATCAGGGGTTGCAATAGCTTTAATTTTGTTCTTTCTGTAGATGTTTTATTTTGCCACGTGGTGTCCTTCGTGGTTCCCTATAAATTTCAGGATACTTTGTTGTCCTTCTGAGAAGAAGGCCATCGGCATTTTGACAGGCACAGCCTGAGTGTGCGCTTGGCTTCAGGCAGCAAGGATGGTGTGACAGTGTTGCTCCTGCCGACCCTGAGCTTGGCGTGTCCCCCATGGCGTGTCCCCTACATTTCCCTTCTCGGTTCTCACGGCCGTCAGGGTGCAGACTGTCCACTCTTAGGGTGCATTTGTCTCCAAGTGCTTTCTGCTTTCTGATGCCGGGCCAGTTTTTCATGAAGAGTAATTCCTGACAGTGTAGTCTGTGGGACTAAGGATAAACATTTTCAGCGCTGGCTGGTGTGGCCCAGTGGTTTGCGGTCCAGTCTGCGAAGCGAAGGGTGGCTGGTGGGTTCCCAGTCTGGACACACACCTGTGTCGTCGGCTGGGCCCCCAGCGAGGGGTGTGCCAGTGGCAGCCAATGAGGGATGTTTCTCTCCCTCTCTTTATCCCTCCCTTTCACTTTCTTAAAAAAAAAAAAAAAACCTTAAACAAACAAAAAAAGCTCAGGATATTTGGTATACAAGGAGGGACTGGAAAACTACCGGGAGTTCCCTTCAGGACGGCGGGCCCCTTGTGGTCCAGCCTCCCTGACTAGGCGAGAGTCCCAGGAGCCCCTCTGCATCAGTGACCAGCTGGCGTTGTTGTGAGAGGCTGTGTCGGGCCTCAGTAATTTTTTTTTGAGGACTGTTCCAGAGCATTGGCCCAGTTCACGACGGCCGATTTACCAGCCCACCTGCCCACAGCAGGTTTTGACCCAAACCCACAGAATGTATTTTTCTTTCCCGGATGAACAGAATCTCCAAAGGGAAACATCCCGACATGTAAGATGAGAGACAAAACGGCAGAAGCACTAAGAGGCGTCAGAGTCCCCGAGGCCAGAGAGTGTTCAGGGATGTGGAGGGAGGTCCCCAAGGGTGTCCCCATCCAGGACAGAGCATTTGAGGGTGACTGAGGGTTAAAGGTGTGAGAATGAATACTCAGTGTTTATAAGTAAATTCTCTTTCTGGGTCGCCCTGTGTACATGCAGCCAGACGCATCCACAGGTGTCCACAGTCACAGGAAACAAAGGATGTAATTACCATTGTGTTATTTAAGTTCCATTCTTTTACATTTTATATTTTCAAATGGTTTATGATAGGAATGAAAAACAATAAATATCCTCCAGAATATGTGCAAATGTGTTCTCCACTTTGGAAACTTTCAGACTTTAACACCATAATATACTTTGTACTGTTTAAATACAGTTGTCTCCATTTTCCCTGAACCACTCACCCCCACCCCCACCCCTAAAACATCAGATCATTTAAAGCACAGGGTGCAAAGTCCCTGGGCTTCTGCCCTGGGAGGGGCTGAGCAGGAGGGAGGTGAGGGGGTGGGAGGCGCTGGCTGCTGTGTGGAGCTCGGCCTGCAGGGGGCAGCAGCGGGATCAGGGACTCAGAGCACAGGGCCTGCCTTCCTCAGAGGGTGGTCTGGGGGCAGGCACCTGGCTGGGGCAGGGAAGTGTGGGCAGGTGGAGGGCTTCTGAGCAGGTTGGCACAGGAGAGCCCGGTGCTCCCTGCTGGCCAGGAATAAGGTACGTCCATTACAGCTCCATGTTTCCTGGCTGACTTCCATGGTGGGATCCAAGGTGAAGAGACGCCCCAGGGGACATTTGCAGAGGAGGCTCTGGGGTCCCCAGGGATGGTGGTGGTGACAGGGCCGGGCCTGGGGAGGCAGCCTCTCCATGTGGCATTCTCCTCCCCCTTCCAGGTGGTCACTGCTCCCCAGCCCCTGTCGGCCTCTCTCTGTGCACAGCAGGTCAGGATGGTGCGGTGCCTGGTCCCCCATCTGCCTGCCCTCGCTGTCTGCCTCACCCTGGTCCAGCTGCTCAGCCCCTGCTCAGGTAGGACCTGCCCTGTGTCTGTGTGTCTGAATCCCTTACCTTTGGGCCCAGCCAGAACCCGGGACCCCTCCCACCCCTGCATGGCATGTCCTCACTGCACCTGTGTTAGGACCGAGGTCCCCTGCAGGTGTGTGTCACCTCCCCTCCCTTCCTGGGACATGCCCTGGCCGTGCTCACTCTGACGGAGCCCACCCCCTTCTGACAACCAGCTGACTTTGCTGTGGTTGGACCCCCTGAGCCCATCCTGGCCATGGTGGGTGGAGACGCTGAGCTGCCCTGTCACCTGTCCCCGAAGAGGAGCGCTGAGAGCATGGAGCTGATGTGGGTGCGACCCAGCCGCAGGCAGGTGGTGCTCACGTACGCACACGGGCAGGAGGACACGCCGGCAGAGGAGTATCGAGGGAGAACTTCGGTTTTAAGAGAGGACGTCACTGCGGGGACGGCTGCTCTGCAGATTCGCAACGTCACAGCCTCAGACAACGGGACCTACGTGTGTTACTTCCAAGACAGAGATTTCTCTGCAAAGGCCCAGGTGGAGCTGCAGGTGGCAGGTGAGCCTCAGGTTTGCTCTGGGCTCCTCTCTGTGGGCCAGGGGGGCAGAGGCTGCAAAGCTACCCCGGAGCAGGTGGGGCTGCTCACCAGCAACCGCCCCACCTCCATCTCTGCTACTCTGAGACCTGTGACAGACCCAGGTGTCCGCTGGGGTGACTTCTTCCTGCATTCAGTACAGAGTCCCCCCGTGCCACCCACCAGTCTCAGCAGGGAAAGGAGGTCAGGGACGGGGAAGATGAGGACACCTCCCCCTCAGTGGGAGGCACATGGGTGTTTGGGTTCAGTGTGACCCAGACACTGGTCGAGGGTCCCCCAGGTGTTGGCTGCTGTGGGTGCAGGAGGCTGAGCTGCAGGGACCACACCAGTGGGGTCCACGTCCCCTGCCGAACCCCCGGGAACACACGTGCAGTTGATCAGGCTGTGTCTGTCCTCGGTGCAGGGAGGGAGGACACTCACCTGGGGACGGGGACGCCGGGGTGTCCCAGAGAGAGGGCGTCAGGGAGCACTCTGTGCGGTTTGGGGGGATGAGGAAGCAGCGCTGTGCACTGGTGACGACGCTGTCAGGATGGAACGGGCGTGTCACTGGTCACTCTAGCTGGCACAGGGAGGTTGGTCACTGCACACGGTTTGTGTTTCCTCTGTGCTGTTACCCGACCCTTGAGTGACCTTGACGTTGCCCTGACCCATCTCAGTGACCGAGCGCCTTGTCTGAGGTGCTCATGTCCAGGCACCTGGGCTGCAGTTTGCATTCCCTGGACACAGCCCTGCCCTGTGGCTTCCAGTGCAGGGGGCCTGGTAGGGCATGGACAGTGCGACCCCTGGCCTTGAATCCCACGGCCACCTCCTCAGCCTGCGGTCCCTTCCTGGAGACCACTGCTCCTCCAACAGAGCTCTCCTTATAGGACTTAGTGTTTCAGGTCCTCACAGGGCTTCCTCCCCCTCCTTGTGTTCAGGGGTGGGGACAGGTGGTAGTGAGTCCCCTCTGTCTGTCCCTGGGTGCACCGTGTTCTGTTGGAAAGTCCCCCCTGCACAACCTCACTGCACACACTTCTGGGGGGGTCCCTGCCGGGGGAGCCCAGCAGCCTGGCAGTAGGTGCAGCCAGAGCCTCCCGAGGGGACTTGCACACAGGTCACCGCTCGGGGGGCCACCGTGTGTCTCTTCCTGCTCACGGGAGGGCAGGGCCCCCACAGGACAGGCAGGGCAGATGGGGCAGTGGGTGGGACCCCCTTGGGTAAGGGGCACCACCTCCATGCTTGCCCAGGGTTGGGCGAGGGGCTGTGCCTGGGACCAGCCTGTCTGGGGCATGGGGGAGGGGAGGCTGGGGCAGTCTGTAAGGGGACTCAGGGGTAGCAGCCTCCGCTCTGGCCCAGGTCCCCCTGGATCCAGTACGAGGGTCCAGCCATGGTCAGGCAGTGTCCCCATCAGGGGTCAGTCTGCTGCACAGCACAGGCTGGGAACAGCTCCTGGTGAGTCCCTGCTGGACTGGTCAGTGTGGGTGCCCCTCTCTGCTGTGGAGACCCCACCAGTGAGGAGGGCTCCCTACGATTCAGTTCACTTTCCCTCCCCAGCACTGGGCTCCGATCCCCACATTGAAATGAAGGGCTACGAGACTGATTGGGTCCAAGTGAAATGCACGTCTGCCGGCTGGTACCCGGAGCCCCAAATCGAGTGGAGAGTCGCCAGGGGACAGAGAATTGTCCACTGAGGCATTGGGTGAGGCTGCAGACCCCCAGGGCCTTTATGCAGCCTCAGCCTCTGTGATCCTGGAAGAAGGCTCTGGCGAGGGGGTCTCGTGTGTCATCAGAAACCCCCTGCTGGGCCAGGAAAGGTCAGCCATGGTTTCCATCGCAGGTGAGTGCTCTGCCCGCTGCCTGGGGCTCCTCGGTGCAGCTGGGGGAGGGCAGAGTGGTCTGCTGCTGGCCTGGGTCCCTGTGGGACACAGAGCACACGTCGCAGGGACCCAGGGCTTGTTCCCCTGAGTTGGTCTATGTCACAGACACCTTCTGAGCACTTCTTGTGTGTCACACACGGTGCCAGGCAATGGGACTTGGGTACAGATGGTGAAGATCAGCAAACTCACTACATGAAGGGGGAATAATAGGTACAACCAAAATCTCAATGAAAGAGCTCATATCTTTTCAATATAAACAACACAGTAGATAAAAGAGCAAAAACGGGAATTGTCAGTTCACAGAGAGGTGAAACTCACAGGACGATGCCAAGTCTGACAACAGGGAAATAATTCCACCTGTGAACAGGCAGCAGAAGTGAACACGAAGTGGCGGGCGCCCTCTGCTGGCGGGTGTGGGGAGATAGTTCCTCATGCACACAGGCTGCATAGGGGCTGATTTCGGTGCAAACAAGATAAAATATAGTTAGTTTTTAAAATTTACTGAAACCGGGGTGGCACTCATCCTGTGTCAGGCAGTGTACAAGCATTAACTTAATGCTCTCACTGACCCGGATGCCAGCAACAGATGGTGATATCATTAGTTTAAGGTCACAGTGCTGGTCAGGCAGGAGACCCAGGACTGGAACCCAGGCCCTGCAGCCCCAGAGTTCCGTTCTTCATCACCAGGCTCTTCTGACTGGGGGGCAGATGATTAGTGGGGGGGGTGCAGAGGCGACTTCAGTGACACTGCTGCCTCGTACCCGATCTGATCCCATGGGGGAGGCAGACGTTCCAGGAGAAAGGTACTTACTGGGTGACACTAAGAGTTCTGGGCACTCTGGGGACAGGCAGGTCATTTCAGGGGCTGACGCTATTCCTTGGCAGGCACCTTTTTCAGGAACGCAGAGCCTCGGAGAGTTATTCTTGTTGCGCTGGTGTGCTGATTTTTGTGGGGCTCCTGTCGGGAGTGTCGTGCTTTCGGTGGCAATGGTGGAAGAAGATCCGGGCCCTGTTCCAGAGGAAGGGGAGAGAGCACGAGCTGAAAAAGAGGCCACGTGGGCAGAGCTGCAGCGGGTGGGAAGCGCCCAAGGTGAGGCCCAGCTGCAGGCGGCCACCTCCTCCCTGCCCAGCCCACACCCACCACCCGGATCCTCCTCTGTATCCCCTGACGGGACTGTATTTTCTATTTATTTGCAGAGAAGCTGTAGGACGAGCCCAGTAAGTCCCCATCCCCCTCCTTGCTGGTCCCTAGATTGGGCAGCTCAGCCTTTCAGGCAGGATGCACTCCCCTGACTACAGCCTGGAGTGGCCGTGCTAGTGAAGACCCCCCTCTGCTGGTCTAGACCACGGGGTGCACATGGGAGTTCGGGGGCAACGGGGCTGGTATGGTTTCCGGGGGCTGCAGAAACGTGCTCCCCAACTCAGGGTGAAAGACACGGAACTGACCGTCTCCCAGATGTGGAGGCCGGAAGTCTGATCCAGGTGTTTGGTGGGGTGGGCGGGGGCTGGCCCAGGTCCAAGGGGTCTGGATGCGGTCCTGTCTTGCTGGGTCCAACCACAGCCCCCGCCTGGGACGCCCCTCGGAGTTGGGGGCGGAGCCTGCACCTGACCCCACGAAGTACTTTCCCTGCTGCCACACAGCCCTGGCCGACCTGTCACAAGAGGTGGCATTTCCCCCGAAGTGATTGGGCAGGGCCGCGGTGCAGGCCCCTGCCACCAAGTCATGGCTTTGCTCTTCAGTTACAGGGAGGCACCCTGCCCAGGGCCATTCTGCCACTGACCCGGGATGTGGGGCGCAGCTCACCAGCCCCTGGCGCAGAAACCACACCACTGCTGGAGCCGCAGGGCACGGCTGTGACGCCCTCTGAAGACCCTGAAGCCAGCAGGTTCGAGCTCCAGGCAGTGGTTCCTGCAGGGGGCGGGGCCTCCCCGGAGCAGGCGCTGCAGACCCAGCTGCCTCCAGGGACCTGGACCAGGCTGGGGCAGGAGCCCTCCGTGCCCCAGAGCAGGTAAGGGTGTCTGGACAGGTGTGACGGCAGGGGCGCCTGCCTGTGTGGAGCACGTGCCAAATGCATGCAGAGTGCCGTCCTGCGTCCCCTGACTTCCTGTCTGAGTTTCCCAGGTGACCGCGATACAGCTCCACAGACCAGGCAGCTTAAACAACAGAACGTTACTGTCTCCGTGTCCTGGGGGCAGAGTTCAAGTTCCCGTGGCGTTGTCCCTGTATGTGTGTCCATGTCCCTAAACGAGGGCACCGGTCTTGTTGCGTTAGGGCCTCATCTCCACAGGTCACATCTGCCGCGACCTGGTTGCCTGACTAGGCCCCATTCCCGGCTGCTGGGCTTAGGACGTCCACATCTTTGGGGGCATAGTGCTACCCGTCACCGCCCCCACCACACCTGTTGTCCCAGGGAACCACGCAGACCCAGGGACCCTGCTCTCCGAGGGTCCAGCGCTGGGAGGGGGCTGCCTGGTGTAGGCCCGACTTCTGGGCCCTGACCCCTCAGCCTCCACCGCCCACCGGCCTCCCAGGTCTTGCGGCCCCAGTGCCTCCTCTGTGCCGTGTGTGTCCTCCACTGGGGGTAGGCCCGGCGGCCATGAGTGACAGAGGCCGGGCACACACACAGCACCCTGTGGCCCTGTGGGACAGATGTGGGCATCATGTCCAGCCTTGCCCGGGAGAGACTCACTGTCCTTTTTCAATCGAGGGGCCGTAACAGCTGAGTGCAGCTTGACAGGATGAGCAGACATCCCCTGCATGGCCCTGGGGAGCTGGACCCTTCAGGAAGGGGGGACCGTGTGCACAGGGTCTCAGAAGGGTGCAGAGCCTGTCCAGCGTCCAGTACAGGCTTGGGTGTCCCTCCAGGGCAGGGCAGCAGGAAACCCAGTGTTGCCGGGGCCCAGGCAGTGTCCTGGGGGAGTGTGACCCAGAGAGCAGGTGGGCTGTGACCCCTGCTCCTGAGAGGCTGGGCCACGTGCCCAGACAGACAGTGGGTAGCAGTGTGGAGGCCCAGCTGCCCCCGTCCACGGCGGCCACCCCAACTCGGGAGGCTCTGTTCCCGCAGGAAGCCGCCTGCTGTCTCCTCTCAGAACTATTTTGTTCCCTTCTCTCCACAGCAATATGAACAAAAGTACGTTTTGAAGGACGGGTCCCCTGAGAGTAGATCACCCGAAGTCTTCCTTTATAGTGACCGTTCGGGGGTGTGGTCAAAACCCAGTGTCCTTCCTCCTGGGAAGCGGGACTCCAGGCCCGCAGGAAGCTCAGGGACGTCCTGTGGGCATCAGACTTGCAGCCCGACACTCACTGCCCACATCAGGGCACACGGGCCTCCCTCCGTCCAGTGTCAGTTCTGGCCGTGAGGACGGACGCAGGCGGCCCCGCGTTACTGCGCATCCACGGGTTTGAGCAGGGATGTGAGTGGCCAGTGGGAAGGCCTGGGTGACCCTGGCCTGGTGAGGCCCCGGGGGCTGCGGCGCTGCAGTCATGGGACAGGAGGGTGCGGGTCTCCTGCAGCTCAGGTGACAGCCAGGTGCTGCTTATACTCTGGCCCTCTGACAGCTCAGGGGGACCCCCCACGTGACATCTGAAGGTGGGGCAGTCTCAGCCCAGCGAGGTTACAGACCTCGCCCTGCTGCCCGCACAGCCCCTCTGGTCCCGCTGCACAGGAGGGGGCCGCCTCAGAGGACACGTCACCCCCAGGGCTCCCCACCCTCGGGCCCCCAGGCCCTTCTGCCAGACTCACTGGTTCCATGTGAATGAGCGTTGGGCCTGTCAGGAGCCCGGCCAGGTCACGTCCTACTGCGCTCTCCTGTCCCTCCTGCGAGGGCAGCCTGGGCGCCCAGGGCCTCCCCCCACCCCGGGCCTTGGTCGCCAGCTGGACACTCACAGTGCACAGCCCACGCCACACCTGCCTTCCAGGAACGAGGCCAAGTCTCCCTCCTTGATTTTCTTTTCTCAGTCATGAACAGGATCTACTTCGAATTCGGGCAGGAGGTTCTCAAAAGTCACTGGAGGATGTTCATGAGATTGGCGGGACTAGAGGAGAACAACATTGTCATTTGTGAGCACGAGAACCCGGGGAACCTGCCGGAGCAGCACCACGGGATGCTGCTGTGCTGGCAGAGCAGCTGGGGTGTGCTGCGACCCCCCTCCAGGCTCACAGCAGCCCCTCTGTGAGATGCAGCTGTGGGAACATCTGGGAAATACTATAAACAAGCTGGCTGCGGAGGATATCTCAGGGAGTAAGGATGCAGAGCCCCGAACTAGTCAGCAAGGGCTGTGAGACAAGTCAGTCCGTGAGAGACAAACCAGCGGCCACTCAGCTGTCACTGGGTCAGTGGGGCAGGGCATGGGGACAGTTACTGTCAGGTGCCAGCTATAGAGGCCTTTGTACAGTACTTTAAGTGGTTAATTATATGTTTTTACTAACTTTCTTTGCATACTGAGATTTGTATCTTAAATAGTATTTTCACATGCTTTTATACTTTTTTTCAGCAGTAAAATTTATATTCTAAATCGTGTTTTGTTGTCATTTCTGTTGCGGGAACAACTTTGGGTGTATTGTTGTTGGGAAGCGACGTGCACAGAGTCATGGGAACCTTGGGTGTGGTTTGTGGGTGCAGGGCCCGGAAACAGGGACCAGAGCTGGGAGTGGCCCGTTGTGTGTTTTCTGGTGTCCCCAGGGCCTCTGTCCCTGGGAATGACAGCACCGTCCCTCCAGCGCTCCCCTGAGAACCCACCCACCCTGCCCCTTCTCACTCACCCCGAGCAGCACCAGTCCTTGGAGATGCTCCCACACGGCCCCGCACTCCCGTGGGGCGCCGAGCACCCTCAGCCCCCATGTGGTCCCTCAGTGACGTCACTGCCACTCTAGCCTGCTTCTCCCAACCAGAACCGTGGGTGTCATCCCCACAGGCATCTCCCTGGGCCCCCTCACCCCAGGGTGTGGTGGTCCCATGGCCCTCCCCAGACCTGTGTGCCCGGCCCCCTAGGCCCTGCCTCCACTCACACTGCTGCCCGTCACTGACTCAGCTCTGTCCACTCCGGCTCCCTTCCTGCCTCCGCGAGTCCAGTCTCCTCCACTAGCACTGGACTGGGGGTCAGAGCAGGGGTCTGGCCACCGCCCTCCCTGCACCCACCCTTACTCCCTGGGGCGGGTCTCTGCCATTCCTTGTGTTCCCCAGTCCGCACCCCAAACCCAAATCTCTTCTGGTGCTGCTGCGTGCGTTGTGGTCACACTGAATTTGTCAGCAGCTTCCTTCTCCTGGGGTCATTTGCAGGACAGTCCACTCTGCGTGGAACGCACGACCCGTCCACCCCCAGTCCCTTCCTCTAAGCCTCCTTGGAACCGGTCGTCCCTCAATGCTGACTTCAACACACCTGCGCGAGATGACCGGTCCCTAACGCTGGCTTCTCTTGTGGGCACTGTGACCTCAGCACCTTGCTGCATGTGGAGCCTCAACTCAGGACTGTCCTACCTCCCAGCACCAAAGGTCCTGGAGACCTGGCCCAGGGCCCAGGCCACTGCCATTTACAGACTACAACTCCCAGCATGCAGAGGGACAACGGCGTCCTTGTCATCAGCAGTTGCCTAGGGACCTGTGTAGTCCAGTAGGCTAGCCAGGGTCCAGGAGAGCAGGTACACTGAATGCAGAGGTCCAGCCACAGCGGGTCAAGGGGTCCCACAGGTGAGGGTAGGCGTCGGCGCTGGGTAACAGACGACAACACGCCTCAAAGGACAGTGAAGCTCTGTTCCGTTTATTGCAAGTACAAGCAGGTTTTTATATTTTCATTTTAGGTAGTGATTAACATTTGCAGTATAACATGATCATTTAAGCAGAAAAATTAATACAAAGGTAATCAGGAAAAGTACGAAAGTTCCCATAGATTCAGTTATAATAAACAAAGATTATTTTGACCAGGAGAGCTATTAATCAGACAATGAGAAGTATCTTATTGTATATTGAAGTTTCTCAGAATTTGTCATAGGGCAAAAGGATACGCTACATTGAGTAGAGAAAATAGGAGATTTATTATAAGGCCCTTGTGATGTCTAACTTAGCTATCTACCTTTTTTTTTTGCTTAAAATGTTTTTCTGTGTACCATAAATTCTGACTCCCTAGTAACTGTTTAGTTTGTAATAACTAGCCAGCTTTTGTTATTTCTTTCTGTCTAGTTGATATATATATCTTATTCAAGGCAAAGGAGGGGCTATTCCTATGTTGCAGGGGGCTTTCAAGGGTACTTCTTTTAAGTTTCTCTAGGAGTTCTTTTATAGACATGTTTTGTACTTTGATTCCCTCTAAGAAAGCAGTGAGATCATCTCCTGATTTCCTAGAGTTTTCTATCTTGGGTGTTTTTCCAATGGTCTGTTATTGATTAAGCTTGAATTCTCAGATTGTTCTGGTTGTTTCTTTGTACCTATATTCCCTGACGTTTCTAGTATGATATTATTATTCTGTTCATTGAGCCGGGAAAGGTCCAGGCACACTATCTGAATCACTGCCAGGGTATTCATAATGATTAAAGCAAAAAGGGTCATGATCCCCAAAGCAAGCGCAATCACAATAGGTATTGCAGGGCCTTCCATGCCACGTCCACCAAGTTGGAAACTGCTTCCTTGAAGTCTTACACCCCCTCTCAGGACCTTGTCACGGAGAGAGAATTCCAACAGTAGACGCGGCAGTGGACATGGCAACTGAAGGGCAGGGAGCAGCGTGCAGAGGCGCACAGAGGCGGGACGTCCAGGACAGGGGTTGCTCTAGGTTCTAGGAATCAGTTGCTGCTGGTGCAGGCCCGGAATACTCAAGTGGCAGGTGACTCGAGCGAGCTAGGTGACTGTTCTCTGTGGGGCTCTTGGTGGTTGACCCCGGCCGGGTGTGAGGGGGACTGGCCCCCGGACCAGGCATGTGGTGACCCCAGTCTCAAGGGGCTGGTCTCTGGACCACACAGGGCCCCAGGACAACCGCTGGTGCAGGAACAGAGGGTGGTGACCCTCTGTGCCTGCAGAGCCGGTGGCTTTGGGGACACCTGCGTGTGGACACTGTTGTTTCCGTGGTCCTCATGGTGCGCGCAAGGGGCTTGGGGGCCCTGATTCTCACACCGGCATGCGGCCCCTCAGACCAGTGCGAGCCAGGCCCAGGATGGACCCAAGAGCTGCCCGTGAAAATGGGAGGTTCACTGGGGAGCCTGGTGTTGTTGGTGGCACCTCCCCAGGACGGAGGAGTCCGGTAAGACACCAGAGTGGGACATCCCGGAAGAGAAAGGCCGGTCAGAGGTGGGGACACCCGGTTCCCCTGACCGCCTGGGAGCCTCTGCACCCAGCCAAGCAGGGACCTGAAGGAGCCGGCCCAGGACATTCACATGGAAACAGCCACCTCCCCGTGGAGACAGCCACAGGGTGTCCTTTCCTCCCTGACCAGTTTGGGCCGGATTCGGTGGCGTCTGAATTTCGGGCCTTCTCAGTCCCATGGCCTCTAATTTAGGAGGGCCAGAGCCCTCCGGGGCCTCCCCCATGTGGCAAGAGGGCCTCCCTTCCCGATTCCGTGCTTTCAACGATGACCTTGGGAAGGACCACCTGCAGCCGACGGCCTTGACCTGCTTCCACGGGGTGAACTGACTGAGACGGTGGGGCGCACGGAGGCTGCTCCCCACCAGCGGTTTCCCGGCTGCCGCGTCTCACCCTGTTCCCCTCAATTCTTCATCTCCGCATGCTGAGGTCATTTTCAGGTTCAGTTTGTCTCCAGGGCATTAGCCGACACATCCAACCTGCGGTCCTTGGGGGGATAGGAAGCGCTCTCACTGTGGTCCGAGCCGTCGGTGAGATTTCACACACGGCAGCAGAACTCCTGAAGGTGTCTTCTCGGCACAACGTCCCAACGACAAATCCTTTCTTTCCTCTGCTGTGTGTTTACTTTTATTCAAGTTGTTCAGGTCGGTTCTCTCCATTCCCCACCACTGTCCCCCGCCCCCCACCTCCCCTCCTCCCCCCCCCTTGGCTGTATCCCTGGGTCCTTTACAGGTTTTGCTGTGAACACTTCCCCTTCTTTCTCCGTTAACACCCTTCCCCCTCCCCTCTGGTTACTGCCAGTTTGTTCTTCATTTCAATGACCCAGTTACATTGTGCAGTCTTCTTTCTTTTGTGATTAGGTTCCAGGCAGAGGTGACACCGTGTGGCATTTGTCCCTCACCGCCTGGCTCATTTCACGTCACCCGATGCTCCAGTTCCGTCCACGCTGTTGCCAAGGGCAGGAGCTCCCCCGTTCTCTCCGCTGCGTAGGATTCCACCGTGGAAATGGTCCACGGTGACCTGATCCCCTCACTCACTGGCGGGCCCTGGGCTGGTTCCAGCACTTGGCTGCTGTGAAAGGCACTGCCGTGAACGGTGGGTGCGTGGGTTCTTTCGGACGGGCGTTTCAGGGTCCTGAGTGAATGGTCCCCGCACTGGAACTGCCGGGTCAAAAGGCAGCTCTGGTTTCAGTTGTTTTAGGAAGTTCCAAACTGTTTTCCATTAGAGCCAGGCGTGTGCTTATCAGCAAAGTGAACTACAGTCCATCTCTCAGCTTCTGGATGAATTTAACACATGGGGCTGGGGCTGAAAACCCTTTGGAAGCCTCGTGCGGGGTTGAAACGGATCCATCGATTCTCTGGCCCCGTGAAAACAGCGACTGTACGAGGCAGTAACCCGAATCCCGCAGACTTTCACTGAGGGGCCCTGAGGCACGGACCCTCGTGCGTGGGAAGCGGGATGAATTTGGGGCCCACACTCTGGGGCAGAGTCCCATCTCTGCCACTTGGGGGCCTTGGGCGGTGGGGGGAGTAAAGCTTTTCTTTCTTTTTTAAATTATTGACCCCTGAGCCTGTTCTCTCATCAGGGAAACAGGCATAATTCTCAGCCTTTAACTTTGCCCCAAGGACTAGCGACCTCCCTTCGCCAGGGGACAAGTCCTGGCGGAGGCTGGTTTCTGTCACTGGGAAGGTTGCGACTGCATCACGACATCTCGCTGCAGTCAGAGGTGGGCGCACGCACCTGCGTCACACGTGTGGGGCCGTCTTCTGAGGTGGTGGGATTCAGGAGCTCAGGCTCTGTCTACTTTCTGACCCCCTGGGGTGTGTGCTACAAGTTCACTGACCCGGCCGCCCCCTCCGGCTGCTCAGTGAGGTCTGCCCCCCTTTCCCGAGTGTGTCAGAATCCAGCATGAAAGGACTCGGGCGACATAGCAGGTAGGAAGGACCTTAGTCAACAACCTGGTATTGTGCACGTGAGATGTTGCCAGGCCCTGGCTGCTGTGGCTCAGTGGACTGAGTGCCGGCCTGTGAACCAAAGGGTGGCCAGTTCGATTCCCAGTCAGAGCACATGCCAGGTCCCCAATAGGGGGTGTGCGAAAGGCAACCCCAGCTGGATGTTTCTCTCTGTTTCTCCCTCTCTGCCCCTCTCTGTAAAAGTAAAAGTCTTTTCAAAAAATGTTGTTAAGGTAGATTTCATGTAAAGCACTTTTACTCTAAGAAAAGGAG